AAAAAAAAAAAAAAAAAAAAAAAAAAAAAAATCAGAGTGAAGTGAATGAAACACTCCACAATTTTCCTTCTGATATTAGCTTCTTCTTTGAACATTCAACAAATAGTCTTTTTATTTATTTATTTTTTAGCATGTGGTAGTAGTTCTCATTCAGTGACACACCTTTAAATATTTACATGTTTGTTGAAATGTTGGATAGGGATGAAAAACTCTGGAGGTGGAGAGCTTCCTGTGCTGGAGTGGAAGGCAGCTGTGTGAGTTCCAGAGTGGGACAGGGTGCGTTGTTTAAAGAAGTCCGCTGGGCTGGGCGTGGTGGCTCAAGCCTGTAATCCCAGCACTTTGGGAGGCCGAGGCGGGTGGATCACGAGGTCAAGAGATCGAGACCATCCTGGTCAACATGGTGAAACCCCGTCTCTACTAAAAATACAAAAAATTAGCTGGGCATGGTGGTGCGTGCCTGTAATCCCAGCTACTCAGGAGGCTGAGGCAGGAGAATTGCCTGAACCCAGGAGGCGGAGGTTGCGGTGAGCCGAGATCGCGCCATTGCACTCCAGCCTGGGTAACAAGAGTGAAACTCTGTCTCAAAAAAAAAAAAAGTCCGCTGGTGCTGGAGTGGAACAGGGTGCAAGGTTTAAGGAAGCCCACTGGTGCCGGAGTAGTTCCACATTGGCTTTATGTCTTCGTGTCAAAATGATAGTTCATGTTCTTCTTGTTAAAACATGCAGTTTGAGTACTGTGTTTTTGATGTTGTCCAAGTAACATGAATAATATATGTTTTTCATTTGAAATCTTGTGAATGTATTCGATGTATCGCTCTTAAGAGACTGTGAAGTTCCTATTTTAAGCTCTTTTTTTAAAAGCTGTTCTTTAATACATTAAATGGTGCTGCATAAAGGAAACAGGGTGTGTTGTGTAGTGTTTTAACCAGGCGCTTTTCTCTCAGAGAATTTCAAAACCTGTTTACATAAAGGCCCAGGATGGGAAGGAGATCCAGACATAAGCCACCAGCCTCATTCTAAGTCTCTTCTCTTTCCAACCCTGGATTTTTTTGTATTTAACATTGTTTCTTTTAGCTTTATTTTTCTTATAAAAGTAATATATCATTATAAAAATATTAAACACCTCAGAAAAATATTAAGAAGAAAAACATTCACATTGGAAAGTTTTTTTCCCATGAAAACAGAACCCAAAAAGGTAAGTGGTTAAAATTTCACCAGCAATTAATCATGTTGAGAATAAGGCCAGGTGAGGTGGCTCATGCCTGTAATGCCAGTACTTTGGGAGGTTGAGGCGGGCGGATCACCTGAGCTCGGGAGTTTGAGATCAGCCTGGCCAACATGGTGAAAGCCCATCTCTACTAAAAATAATAAATTAGCGGAGTGTGTTGGCATGTGCCTGTAATCCCAGCCGCTCAGGAGGCTGAGGCAGGAGAATCGCTTGAACCAGCTACTCTTGAGGCGGAGGTTGCAGTGAGCCGAGATTGCACTATTGCACTCCAACCTGGGTGACAAAAGTGAAACTGTCTAATAAATAAATAAATAAATAAATAAATAAATAAATATAGAGAGAGAGACACTACAACAGTGAGGGCATGTGCTAGAAATCAGTGCACTAAGGATATGGAAGATATCAATGTTTTACACTCTTAATGTGTGAACACCAGTGTGAACTTTTCAGATACTTTCACCCTGGGTATCCCATTCTTAGCACCTCAGTCCCACTCTCTGCTAGTCATTGGCTTCCTGATACTCTTTCAGTACAGGTTGAGTATCCCTAATCCAAAAATTCCAAATCCAAAATGCTCCAAAATCCAAAAGTTTTTGAATGCTGACATGAGGCTACCAGTGGAAAATTCCACATGAGTACTTAAACTTTGTTTCATGTGCAAAATTATGGAAAACATTGCTTAAAATTACCTTCAGGCTGTGTGTATAAGGTGTATATAGAACTGGTGTTATGATGTGTATGTTTTCTTTTTTTATTCCTGGCTCAACTCCCATAGTCCTTGTTACAGATGTGAGCCACCTTGCCTGGCTCAATTTTTTTTTTTTTTTACTTTTTATTTTTTGAGGAATTTTGCTCTTGTTGCCCAGGCTGGAGTGCAATGGCATGATCTCAGCTCACCCCTCCTCCTGGATTCGAGCGATTCTCTTGCCTCAGCTTCCTGAGTAGCTAGAATTATATGCATGTGCCACCACTCCCGGCTAACTTTGTATTTTTAGCAGAGATGGGGTTTCTCCATGTTGGTCAGGCTGGTCTCGAAATCCCAACCTCAGGTGATCCACCCGCCTCAGTCAGCCTCCCAGAGTGCTGGGATTACAGGTGTGAGCCACTGTGCCTGGCAATTTTTTTTTTTTATATGGATGAGAGGTTTCGAGGTTTCTGTGTTGCCAAGGCTGGCCTTGAACACCTAGCCTCATCTCATGCTCCAGGACAACAGGCCTGAGCCACCATGGCTCCCTGCCTGGCTAATTTGTATGTTTTTTGTAGAGGTGGGGTCTTGCTGTGTTGCCCAGGCTAGTCTTGAACTCCTGGGCTCAAGCAATCCTCCCACCTTGGCCTCCCAAAACCCTGGGAATACAGCCCTCATTTCAGAGAACGTCCCACCCCATACCCTGAGAGAAGGAATGGTGACATCATGAAGCCTTGTTAAAACCCACGAGGATGGTCAGGCGCAGTGGCTCACGCCTGTAATCCCAGCACTTTGGGAGGCTGAGGCGGGCGGATCATGAGATCAAGAGATCGAGACCATCCTGGCCAACGTGGTGAAACCCCGTCTCTACTAAAAGTACAAAAAAATTAGCTGGGCATGGTGGCGCGCACCTGTAGTCCCAGCTACTCGGGAGGCTGAGGCAGGAGAATTGCTTGAACCCGGGAGGTGGAGGTTGCAGTGAGCCGAGGTTGCGCCAGTGCATTCCAGCCTGGCGCCTGGTGAAGGAGTGAGAGTCTGTCTCAAAAAAAAAAAAAAAAAA